GTGTGTGTCGTAAGTGATCTCTGTATGTGTTGCATCTGTGATATCTGTCCTGCCCTGAACGGCGCCCTCAACAATGCTACCTTCACCCATTCTTCCCCATGCATTAGTTTTTTGTTCAGACCCCCCATTCACCTCCTTCCTCAGACCTTCAAAACCCCCACTCTCCCAAAATTGATCAGTCCTCCTCAACCCTCCCAACTTGCCTCGTAGTCCCTTCTTGCCTCCTCCCATTTCTTCCTCCCTTACGAGAGAGAGAGAGAGAGAGAGAGAGAGAGAGAGAGAGAGAGAGAGAGAATGAGAATCATATTTTGATAAAAACACATTTTTCACCCTATCGAGCAGATTCAACATTTTTATTTTCGAAAAATTTATATGAAGTGGCTGTAAATCTGACCAAAGCTGACTACAGCAGCGAGGTAATTGAATTTCTCACTATTAGCATGCATGGTCTCCCCCACCCATCACCCCTTCCCCAGCCCCCACCCTTCACCCACCCCCCCTCCTTAACTTTCCCCTGCTCCCACCCCCTAAACTTTACACAAAAAGTAATATATTCACAAAGCTGTCTATCACGGTTATATATATATATATTATTTATATATATATATATATATATATATATATATATATAATATATATATACACACAAAAGACATTAAATACTTAGTGACCCACACTGGGTTTTCACAAATTTCATGTCTTGTTCTTCACTTTGTGTCTCTGTCTGCTCTCTCTCTCTCTCTCTCTCTCTCTCTCTCTCTCTCTCTCTGCCCTCCTCTTTCCTTGGTACTGTGCCCACCGTCTTCCCCCACCTGGCGTGCACAATATTTACAACATCCACCACTAAGTCATAACGACACAAGTTAACCAACAGCTTCAGATTTTTAGTGGTAAGTTTAAACACAATCTCTCGACTGGTTTATGGGCAATTAAGCTAGTCTATTATCCTTCTCTTTCTCTCTCTCAATTTCTCACTCTCTCTGTATAACTTAGTACAGGTTAATTCTGAAGCAAAAATTTTGGTTTGGTGGTATCACCAGACTGGGAATGTTAGGTTAGGTAGTGTGTAGTACCACCATGCTAGAGTAAGGTAGTGTGTAGTACCACCATGCTAGAGTAAGGTAGTGTGTAGTACCACCATGCTGGAGTAAGGTAGTGTGTAGTACCACCATGCTCGAGTAAGGTAGTGTGTAGTACCACCATGCTGGAGTAAGGTAGTGTGTAGTACCACCATGCTCGAGTAAGGTAGTGTGTAGTACCACCATGCTAGAGTAAGGTAGCGTGTAGTACCACCATGCTAGAGTAAGGTAGTGTGTAGTACCACCATGCTAGAGTAAGGTAGTGTGTAGTACCACCATGCTAGAGTAAGGTAGCGTGTAGTACCACCATGCTAGAGTAAGGTAGTGTGTAGTACCACCATGCTAGAGTAAGGTAGTGTGTAGTACCACCATGCTAGAGTAAGGTAGTGTGTAGTACCACCATGCTAGAGTAAGGTAGCGTGTAGTACCACCATGCTAGAGTAAGGTAGCGTGTAGTACCACTATGCTAGAGTAAGGTAGCGTGTAGTACCACCATGCTAGAGTAAGGTAGTGTGTAGTACCACCATGCTAGAGTAAGGTAGTGTGTAGTACCACCATGCTAGAGTAAGGTAGCGTGTAGTACCACCATGCTAGAGTAAGGTAGCGTGTAGTACCACCATGCTAGAGTAGGTAGTGTGTAGTACCACCATGCTAGAGTAAGGTAGTGTGGTAGTACCACCATGCTAGAGTAAGGTAGTGTGTAGTACCACCATGCTAGAGTAAGGTAGTGTGTAGTACCACCATGCTAGAGTAAGGTAGTGTGTAGTATCACCATGCTAGAGTAAGGTAGTGTGTAGTACCACCATGCTAGAGTAAGGTAGTGTGTAGTACCACCATACTAGAGTAAGGTAGTGTGTAGTACCACCATGCTAGAGTAAGGTAGTGTGTAGTACCACTATGCTAGAGTAAGGTAGTGTGTAGTACCACTATGCTAGAGTAAGGTAGCGTGTAGTACCACCATGCTAGAGTAAGGTAATAACACTAACATACCAAAGTAAGGGACAATAGAATCAAGCAGATTAACCCTAGCAGTGAGAATCATGCATTATTGTAACCCTAGTGATGAGACTCAAGCCGTGTTGTGATTTGTGTTACTGGGTTGTTATTTATGTTGCTGTGTTTGTGATTTGTGTTGCTGTGTTTGTGATCTGTGTTGCTGTGTTGTGATTTGTGTTGCTGTGTTGCGATTTGTGTTGCTGTGTTAGTATCTGTGTCAGTGTTGTGACATGGATTCCTGGAAGCGCAATATGTTTTTTTCTTGTTTCCAAAAGGGCAGATTTTTAATGTATGAAAATGTAAACATGAGAGGAAGATGAGAAGTGGAGTTGATGGAGTTGGTGGAGATGGTTGTATGTTGTTTTTATGTATACTGACTAACTCTGCCACTATACCTCCTCCACACTTACAACAGTTACTCCATGTTATACTCCTCCTCTTCCATCAAACAGTAAACTCCTCTCCCTCACACACTACAAAAAGCCCCTCCCTTCCAAACTACTCCCTCTGTATAACTAATTTCCGTCCATCCCAAATCCAGCCTTTTCCCATAAGTCACTCCCCCCTCCTTCACCCTCCCTCCTTTCAGCATCCTCTCTTCCTAAACACCCTCCTCCCTTCCTGCCTACAACATACACCTTCCCCGGCTTCCTGAAACACCCTCCCTACAACACCTTTCCTCTTTCCCGACAACACCCTCCCTCCTTCCCCTCACACAATAAGATGGCTGGATCACCGAGATACAACAAGGATAAGATTCCCACATTAACCTGCAGGATTCTGATCCTTAATGCACCACTGAATGTCGAAGAATGCTGACGACCCCAAATAAAAACAAGAGCATCGAGGAAGACTTTTCCGAGTGTCATCTCTTAATCCTACCTCGAGCACTCAGTGAGGTGTTCCATCCTCTCCATGATCCTATCTAACACAGGAACTGAACTACAAGCAGCAAAAGAAGCGGCGGCGGCAGCAGCAGATTACTTGGTCTTAACACCAGAAAGAACAGCTTGCTTGGTTCTTAACTAGCTTATTTTAATACTAATAGTAGCAGCAGCTTACCTGGTCCTTTGTCAGCTTGTTCTAACACCAGCAGTAGCGGCAGTTATTTGGTTCTTAGCCAGCTTAGTGTAAACTAAAACCAAGCTTTCATCTTGCGTCCAGCACAACTCGTGTAGTTCATCCCCAGTTCGGTTGAAAACAGTGTCAATGTCTGCAGATGACGCAAAACTAACGAGTGGAAATCGAACTGATGACGACTACTCAAACCTACACATTGTTCTGGCCCGGAAACGGGGATTGTCCAAGAGAAAAATGGCTGCAAAGGCAAAGTTCATGGAAGCACGAGGCAATGTCTCACGTGGGAACTAAATCACAGAATCACAAAGAAACAACAAAGAAGAAACATTCCAGCAAAGCTGTCGTACACCAGGCCATCAAACTTACTAATGACATTCAGGAACTTGAAGAAACATAATGTATGCAT